CGCACTGCCGGTCACTCCTCGGCATCCGTCTCTCCCGCTGGGATCCAGCAGTCGGGGCTCAGAGAGTCTTGAGAAAGCCTGCGTGTGGGTGGTACTTAGGTTATACACACAAGGGTAAACTCGACCCCGAGGATCCCAACGGTTCGAGACCTGGGGCAGGTGGCAGTCTGAATGGGGAGGGCGGGAGCTTGTAGGCGTGCAGCCCGCTAGCCAGCAACCCTGCTAGGAAGGAAGGGTGAGTGTGTGTTGCTTAACAAACACAAAGTGAGGCTGACGGAGGGGAAGTGTGTGGGGTGTGTGTGTGTGTGTCAGGATTCCAGCCTTTCTGTCGTGAAAATTAAGTTAGGCTGCTCTTGGGGACATCCTGTGGCTTTGGATTCTTGAGAATTTTAAGAGATTCTGCCTTAACTCGGGTTGCATGCTACCTGCCAGTGAGCAACAACTATTTCGTTTGTTTGAGATGAGGGTCTCCCTATGCAATCCAGGCCTGGAACTCAGATACCCTGGATTTAAGGCGTGTGCCACCACACCCGGTCCAGAACCAGGTTATGTTGATGGTAAAACTAAGGCCCAAAGCAAGGAATTTGCCCAAGGCCATAAAGAGAAGTTGGCAAGAATCCAGGTCTGGGACCTAGAGAGAGAGTTCGGTGGCTAAGAGCTACATGCTGCCCTTCCATAGGACCAGAATTTGGTTTGTCAGGCAGCACACAACTTCCTGTAATTCCAGCTCCTGAGCATCCAACTCGCTCTTCTTGTAGGCTCCACAGGGACCCAGCACACAGGTGGCATATACTCATGCAGACACACGCATGCATAAAAATAAAATCTTTTAAGGGGAGGAGATGGCTTAGCTGTTAAGAACACTGAATGCTCTTCCAGAGGACTCCAGGTTTCAGTTCCTGGCACCCATATAGCGGTTCACAACCATCTATAACTCTAGTCCCAGGGGATCCAATGCCCTCTTCTGGCCTCCACCAGCACCAGGCAGGCATGAGATGCACAAACAAACATGCAAGCAAAACACCTATGCACATTTAAAAAAAAAAAAAAAAGTCTTCGGATCTCCATACCCATGACATACTGCACCCCTTTCCTCCAGTAATAACTTAAGAACTTATTTAAAAAATCTAGGCCAGGGAGTGGTGGAACACGCCTTTAATCCCAGCAAGGCAGAGGCAGGCAGATCTCTGTGAGTTGGAGGCCAGTCTGGTCTACAGAGCAAGTGCCAGGACATACAGAGCTACACAGGAAACACTGTCTCGAAAACCAAACAAACAAAAAATCCAGGATCCAAGTCTGACTCCCATTTAGTTCAGGGCTCTAATGAATGGATATGCTCATAGGTAAAACAGCATTAATAAAAATAATAATGAATGCCACTGATTGAGCATCTGCTAACTATTGCATTAAAACAGCTTACATATTTTTTTTGGAAACCATGTTCTCATATAGCCCAGGTTGGCCTTGAACTCCATGTGTTAAGGATGACTTTGAGCTCCCATTAAACACTCGCCACACAAGGTTTCTGTGTAGCCCTGACTGTCCTGGAACTCACTCTAAACCAGGCTGGTATAAAATTCAGATGCCTCTGCCTCTGGAGTACTGGGATTAAAGGCATGTGCCCCCACATCTGGCAAATTCACTGAGCTCTTAAGGCAGGTAAATCAACTGTCTTCATTTTATATATAAAAAATTAGGTCAGAGAGTTAGGTATGGTGGCATATACCTTTTACAGGTTAATCCCAGCACTTGGAAGAAGAGGCAGGGGGCTCTCTGTGAGTTCCAGGACAGGTAGGGGTTAGGTAATAGAGAGACCCTGTCTCCAAAAACCAAAGGTTAAGAAATTAGGTGAGAATGAGGTAAGAGATGTTAACAAAGACACCCCTTTGCAATTCCAGCAACATGCTGCCTAAGGAAGAAGTCAGAAAAGACAGAGTTTGGTCCTTAGCCTAAGGTCACCCTGATGATGGCAGAAGAATATTCAGCTGTTAGTCTAAACTTACTGTTGTCAAGTACTCTGAAGTACTTGTTTTTCCTCATTCTAATTACCATGGAAAAACTAGAGATTTAATGCCCCAAAGTTCCAAGTGGTGAGTTCCTGAACCTCAAAAAATGTAGAAAAGGTAGCCTAAATTGGGCATTGGTGGTGCACACCTTTAATCCCAGTACTCAGGAGGCAGAGGCAGGCAGATCTCTGAGTTGGAGGCCATCCTGGTCTACAGGTGACTTCTAGGACAGTCAGAACTACACAGAGAGAGCCTATCTTGAAAAATCAAACCAACCAACCAAACAAAACAAAACAAAAAACCAAACCCACGAACCTTACAATTATGATATAAACTAGGTGAGGGAAAGATCTGGCCACTTCAGAAACAAGTCACTGGAGATTCTGGGGAGAGGATAAGGGAAGTGAGTGCTTGGGGTCCATTTAAAAGAGATTGCAGAAAGCAAGGCAGACTGACATCTGCAGGCTCAGCTATGAGCCCAGCCTCTGAGTGTGCTAAAACTTCCATAACAGATTACCACAAATAAGTCTTAGATGACTTATTGCCTCACACTTCTGAGGTTAGAAGTGCCAGGCCAAAATGTTGGCAGGAATGGTTTTTTTGGAGGAGTCTGTCTTGTGTTTCTCCTGGTTTCTGGTGGTTTGAAGGTGTTGTTTTGGAGTCCTTGCCATCTTCTTTAGCTTACTCATTCCACTGTCTAAGTCTAAATTCCTCCTCACCCAGAGTACCAACTATACTGATCCATTTTTGACTAATTTTGTGTGTAATAAGCATGTTTGAAAAAAATCACATTTGAGGTACTTGAGTTTGAAACTTCAACATCTGGATTTTGGAGACAGGGGACACAATTTACCAATATCCTCCCATAGATCCCAGACAGAAACCTAAGCTCTGGGAAATCATCTGATACATACTCTGTGAAACAACTCTGTGGATTGAGGTAGAGAAGGATGAAGTGTGGCAAACAGATGGAATACAGTATATTCATAATTCATCCCCCCTGCCATTTACAATGAATCTCTATTTCAAGAGACTCAAAATGAAGCATTTGAACTATTTATTCCTCTGCTTCCTCCTACCGAAGGCAGACCTGTCTTGTAGTTATTCCCTCTAGATCTGATGTCTCCATTTCTGCTTGATGCCTAGGGCTGGTGCCAACTTTGTTATTAGCCCCATGGTACAAAGGACTATTCCTTGATGGTTTTCCAAAATCTCACCTTCCCCTTTGGAAATGCACCTGGTATTAAGCTTGTCAAATTGGCTGGGAGTGGTGGCACACACCTTTAATCCCAGCACTGGGGAGAGAGAGGTAGGTGGATCTCCACTCCAGCCTGGTCTACAAATCAAGTTCCAGGACGGCCAGGGTTGTTACACAGAGAAACCCTGTCTTGAAAACCCAAAAGCAAAAACAACAAAACACACACACACACACACACAAAAACAAAAAGCAAATCTGGGCAGTGGTGGCGCATGCCTTTGATTCCAGCACTCAGAAGGCAGAGGCAGTCAGATCTATGTGATTTCAAGGCCAGCCTGGTCTACAGAGAGAGTTCCAGGATAGGCTCCAAAGCTACACAGAGAAACCCTGTTTTTTTGGTTTTGGTTTTGGTTTTTCGAGACAGGGTTTCTCTGTGTAGCTTTGGAGCCTATCCTGGCACTCGCTCTGGAGACCAGGCTGTCCTCGAACTCACAGAGATCCGCCTGCCTCTGCCTCCCTAGTGCTGGGATTAAAGGGGTGTGCCACCAACGCCCAGTGAGAAACCCTGTTTTGAAAAAACCAAAATAAAACAAAAAAAAACCCCCAAAATTAAATAAGCTTGTCAAATTACCCAATTTGTCCCATCTGTCTCTGCTAAGATCCTGACTAACAAAATGGATATATTTGGAGCTAGGAAAGACCCAAACATGATAATATTTGATCGAGAAATGAATGGCTTAGAGGAATCCATAGCTTCTTGAGTGGTTTGAGTTTATTTACCATTGCATAGGAATGGCTTGAAATATGAAGGAAGTTTGCATGGAATTAAGGGAATATCATTCAGAAAGATTTCATTAATTTAGATAACATCTATTGAAGGTCTATTACCTTTCATGCCCCAAACAGTACTCAAGGTGCCGGGGAAAAGAACAAATCCTTGCCCTCATGACTCACTATTCAGTAGCAAGAAACACTCATGTAAAAAGTCACACAAAGCCACATGGGTGCTATAGTAGAAGTGTACTTTCTAATGGTCATCATATAATAAAGGCCAGCATAGATGGAGAAGAAATACCTAGGACACTAGTTGAGGTACATTAAACATATATCTTTGCCATTGTGGGTTTCTGTTATTGTTCATGTTCTGTAGATTAGAGGGAAGGGCTCAAAGGCTTTCAGCTATTTGCTTAAGTTTGCACAGCTAGCAGGTGTGAAAGACAGGCATACAACCTGGCTCCATCTAACTCCAGAGTTGGTTCTATTGCTGGTATGCTCAGAGAGGCAGGAGCAAAATCAGGGTGGAGGAAAATGCCGACAGATCAAATAAATAGATGATTAACAAGACCCTATGGATCTCATAATTAAAAGGCTTGAAGTGAACTTAGCCTGCACAGCTTCATTTGCAGTGTAAAGGGTCAATAGGAGATGGGGAAGTAGAGACTTTTTCCCCAAAGAGGAATTACAGGGCATAGAAATTTTAGTTCCAGCAGGCAGATCTCTGTGAGTTTGAGGCCAGTCTTTTCTATATAGCTACTTATAGGCCATCAGGACTATATAATAAAACCCTGTCTCAAAAAAAGCCAGTGGACCCTAATATAGTGGCTGTGGAAAAAGGGCTTTGGATTTATCAGCAGCAGCATG